TGGCACGAACTATATTGTTCAATAATTACAGTAATGTCACACTTATTATACGAGAGTTACACGTTGGATCAGTTATTTTAATTTCAATTAAAAGGTGCAATTATAATTTACAAATTCATGAATCATTCATACAAAAAACAAATATAGAGGTTAATTGTTTAAATGGCGAGAATACATCGTCGCAAACAATATAAATAAGATATATCAACCCCGAACCTGTATATGAATATATGAATGATATGATCCCTGTTTATATTTGTATGAATGATTCATGTATTTGTAAATTATAATTGCACCTTTTAATTGAAATATATATATATATATATATATATAATATTACTCAGCTTTACCGAAAATTTAGAAAGGCTTATAAAAAACATAATGATAAAATATGTTATACCAGAAGCAAAGAAATAGAAATCCTGAAATAAGAATAAACAACAATAAAGAAAAAGTATGTAACCGTAGAAATTCTAAAAAGTGTCCTTTCAATAGTAAAGGCCGCATAGAATCCATAATTTAACAATGCACTATCTCATCCATTGAGTATCCTAATTTTGTGAAAATCTATATAGAATGTACAAGAAATTCTTTTTTAATTAAGATGGAGACAGCATTTGACTTGCTTGAATAATATTAAGTATCCCAAACAATCATCCCTATTCAAATATTATTGGCAATTAAGAGAAACAAATAAAACACCAACAGTAAAATGGAAACTAGTAAAAAAATATATTAACTTGTAGACTTTTGATGACCGAGGTCCTTTATGCCTATATTGAAATGTTATATATTATTAAGGTTCTGAAAAACTAAAAAAAATATTAAATCAAAGAAATGAAATAGCAGTTTTCTGTAGGAATTGTTTAATATACTCAAGAAAAATAATGAATATAAAAATAATTCACATATTTATATCTATTGTTTCATCAAAAATTAAATAATTTATAAATGCGCAATGAAATTCTAATATCTTAATTCTACAGCACCATATATAGTCTATTAGTAAATTAAATAAATATAGTATTTTATGTATAGTATTTACATTAGTCGGACTATTGTCCTCATCTTTGTCGCCATATTTGTCACAACGTTTCGGCCGTTGTACGCTCCGGTTGGAATTTCGAACTGAACCCTTTATTTCGATCGCTGGGGTAGACTGTTCTAATTCCTCAAGGACACATGGCACAGTGGATAAAGGCGTTGGTTAGATCCAGTGACAGACCCAAAGAAGGTGAGTTCAATTCCTGGTTAAGGCAGTGGAGAACTTTCAGAGGGAAAATTAGCAGGAGATAACTGACATCCATCAAAACATGGCACGTGGAATTAGAACAGTATACCCCAGTGATCGAAATAAAGGGTTCAGTTCGAAATTCCAACCACCTGAAGAAGGCCGGAGCGTACAACGGCCGAAACGTTGTGACAAATATGGCGACAAAGATGAGGACAATAGTCCGACTAATGTAAATACTGTACATAATACCTCATCTCAGAAATATAGACAAACTCTATTTTATGTATGTATAAATAAAATAAAATATAAAAATGTGACTTAATCATATCTGAATGTCCCTTTAAGAAAATCTCGATGTAGTTTTAAAAAAGGAAGTAAATAAAGAACGCCAAATATATTGTAATAAGATAAAATAAACCAGACAGTAATAACGTGACAGCTTGAAAGAAAGTCACAGTAGCTAGACAGAAATCATAACCCCTAACCAACATTAACCGACTTTAAATTTGCTACAAAAAGATACACTCATATTAAGGAGGTGTTCTACATTCGTAGAAAGGCCAACACCTCCTTAATAAAAAAAAAATGAAATTCACTTAACACCACCAACTTAACTTAAAAATAAAGTAAATCCATTTTTTTTTTTAAGTTATTCTTAGCATCGCTTGACAAGGGAACCATGCTCAGAATTATAATTTTGAACTTTAAAGTTAAATTTTAAGATTTAATCTTCTGTTTCAAAACATAGTAATTTTTGTGTTTCGATGGAGACATTTTTAAAAATAATTTTAATATTATAGTTTACTTTGTATCGAGCATAATTTTTTTAAATAAAAGTAACGGCTAAATAATTCTGGATTATAAATCTGACTGTTCTTTCCTATATTTGAATATATATATATATATATATATATATATATATATATATATATATATATATATATATATATATGTTACTGGAAGAAGTATGAAAAACTGGAAAAAGTTTTTCGTGCGACGGTTTTCCTATTTTCATAGGATCAAGATATCTTAAGATGTATAATAGAATCCGAAACAAAAATGCAAATAATGAGACAAAATGATTTTTATATGATGCGTGTGGTCTGTTAAGGTATTTTAATTTCTGTGATATGATGAGGTAATTTAATTTATAGCATCCATTTTCGGTAAAACCCCGTCGCGTTTAGCTTATACACAGTCTTGATTTTTATTCCGATCTACAGAGTCTGAACCCAACGCATGTCATATCGGTGAAACGCACCGTATTCAAATTATTCTACTTTGTCTCCTTATCTAAACACATACGAACGCATGCGTACTCTTTCTCGCTCTCTCCCGCACATACAGACACTCTGTCTGGAACTCTCAGGCACATGTATACACATACACACCGACTCAGGCAGACAGACACACACACAACAACACAAACACACACACATACATAAGTACACACACACACACATATATGTATATATGTGTGTGTGTGTGTGTGTGTGAGAGAGAGAGAGAGAGAGAGAAAGTGCGAGAGAGACAGAAAAACAGACACAGAGGTAAAGATAGGCGAGAAATTGACGTAGATTCATTTTTTTCATTTTTCATTTAGGATCAACAATATTGCTTTTTGAACACTCCTCCTGAATGTCTGTTAAAATACCCAAAAGCTCCATCTATTACCGCATGGAAGTATTTTTCTACAAATAATATATATATATATATATATATATATATATATATATATATATATATTTGTTATTATATTGATATTAATATTTTTTTCTTTAATAAATTTGAACAATCAGAGTTATCATCAAGTTTGCTTTGATCATCATATTTTACAATTGTTTTTCTTTTCTAATCTTTTTGGAAAATAAGATATTTCTTTTCAGTTCCATTTTTTTTTTTTTTTTGGCAACAAATTTCTTCTCCCGATAGAAAGTTAGATTAACTGGAAAATAAAAGACGTCATCAATGGATGATTAACGGAGGAAATTATCAACCAATTAAATACGTGAAAACGGATTGCTGAAGCTACTTTCCCTCCGTCGGAAAAAAAAAAAAATTCAAACTGCCGGTAACAAGGTACATCTCTTCCTTTGATGATGCAGATTTCAAAGTCCTATCTTTTACATGAAATGAAATAATTAGTCTCCGTTTAAGTTAATAACACATGTAACCAAATCACAAAATAAATGCTAATTAAATGTACAATTATCTGCATGTCATGTTAGGCGTTACAGCAAATTACAATTTTGCATGCTTCTAAATCCTCTTATGATAACTCCTTTTGATTATAGCAAAAAACTTGCATAATTTAGCAACAAAATTATGATACATGAGTAATTTTTTCATACATAATAATACAAGAATAAGAGTTTTATATGCTTTAAAAGCACATCAGAGCTTTAGATTTGTTTAATTCGATGAACACTCGATGTTCAAGGACATTCGACATAGTTTCATGTAAACATTTTGGTCTATTAAAAAACAAAGGTTTGTTCAAACTGCCAGAGTTCTCAATAATCAGTGAACTCATGAGAAGAGCATATCACTATGAGATGAGGTGACAATTTCAAAAGAGTATCATTCGGAGATAGACTTCCATTATTAAGTGCAAACGACTCGACCAGTTGAAGATGCAATGTAGATGAAACTGAATCGGCTAGTCATAAAAATTGTTACTAGTAATATAATTATGAAAACAAACCAAATTATTACAGTAAATTGTGTTACTAATAATAAAACATGTATGGTAGTCTGTTTGCTGAATACTAGTTTCTGTTAGAATACATTCAGTTTATTTTCTGTAGCGTTTATATACTACTTAAAATATTCAGTAAAATATTTTGCTTTGTCTGCATGTAATATAATTATCTTATGAATTGATTCACATTTATTGTACTTTACTGATGACATTCTCTGTCTGTACTGTAAGAATTCATTTATTCACATTTATTGTACTTTACTGATTACTTTTTGCTATATGTACTGTAATTATATATAAGAATTCATTCACATTACTGTACTTTACTGATTATGTTATATCAGTTTCCTTTGTTTATATGTACGAGTAGTCATTGATACAAATGCAGTAGTATTTGATTTCTACTTTGGAAAATTTAGTTTAGCAGGCACAAAATTATACATTTTCTTCTATAAAACCACAATAAAATATATTGCAATGATATATCATGAAACATACTAAAGATTCCACAAAAGATCATTGTAAAATATCTTATATAAGGATGCGTGTTATCCGAACACAAATCCACTACTTGTACTTGTTGAATATTTGACAATACAATCTGATTGCTTATATTGACATCAGTAGCAGCGTCATAGTCAGACAGAATAGAAAACATCAGTTGCAAGGCTAAAAGTGCTACATTTATGACAATAGCCTAGTAGATTAAATAGTTGTTTTGTGAATCTGTTAGCATAATAATTCCTGCTTTTCTGCCAACGACAATCTTCAAAAAATTATCTGCAATGTTAATCGTTTATCTTCTGTGATCTGAAATTCTGTTCTTTTATTTCCGCCTGTGTTCAGTTCAAGTTAACTAAGGCCTTGCATCTTAGCGGTTTTTTATGTTTTTGCTTGTGCTGAATTGATTAAAAAAAGGGTATATGCAGGTGAATTAATTTATACATATTTATGTTGCTTCCGTTTCATTTCTTGTACATCTTTGTGGCATTTTAACACTCTCGATGCTCCTGAAAATGCAATTTATTGTGTTAATTCCTTTACTATCATTCAGCTTATACGGCTTACGTCTATATCGTTTTGAAACACCGGTTCTCGTTCGATCGCCAAAGTTAAGCTACATTGAACCTGGTCTGTACCTAGATGATTAACCACTCGAGAATACCATGTGCTCTAAACTTGGATGCTCCTAATGAAAAATTAGATCCCAGTCTATTCGTTGTATTTATTTACGTGGAAATGTGTTCTTCATATGTATGAACCTAACTGCTAAGTATGGGCCAAATACTAAGACTGGTACCAGAAAACTTATAACTATCTCGAAAGGTTCTTACAATCCCAAAATATATTTTAGCTTTAAATAACCTTAAAAAAAAATGTTAATCAACCAACCAATCAATTGACGCAATACAATGCCTAAATTCTACAGAAGGTAGATAGTTATTAAACAGAGATGCAGTAAGTGCGTATCAGGAGGGAACAAATGTTTCATATTGTGAAAATAGGTAATATATATAATGGTGGACCCTCGAATAGAACAGAATTATATTGTAGGAATCAAGGTATCATTACCTCGAGAATTAGTTTCACATTACACCAGTTCTGGGGAAGAAGCTGAGTGAAACATCCCTACACGAAAGACGCTGTGGGCCTCTGGCGCGCTGTCGGTGACAACGACAGCGGTCCTCTGGTGGCAGTCACCAGAATGCCAACGGCGGGACAACAGTGGGCCACAAGTGGTAACGTTGCCGAGATGAACACGCCGGCGGTCCGACAGCGGGCCACCAGCGGTAAACGCTTGTGTCATGCCACTCAGTAGCAGATTGGTGGCCTGCGTGTAGGGTTACTCGTTATCGATGTAACCAGAATGTGTCACTTGATGTATGTAGTACAGAGGGACCTAACTCTGAAGGCCTTGACTGGTGGAACGAAGGAATGTAGTTCTTCTGAAAGTCTATTATGAAAACATCGATAAAGCAGCGAGAGTCGAGCAAAATTCCTTCTGTGCAAAATTGGTTGAAGGGTAGCAAACAATTCGTCACTCACAAAGCCACGCAAACGGCTCAGATGAGGCAGCAACACTCTGTCTTTTTTTTAATATGGATCTTGTAAAACTAGAGCACACCAGAAAGAGTTAGATATTTTCTGTAGTTATGCTAGGGACCGATTATTTTTGCATCGTCTTTATCGATATATTGTATTTGAAGAGGGCGATCTGGTGTGAAGTTGAAACCTCATTGATTTAATAACCGGGCATCATGACCAGAGAAAGTCAGTCTCTAATCTTTAAATTTTTATAAATGTTCTTAGATATATGTTCGATATTTATTGCCATGTCTTTTTTATTAAAACATGATTTATCTAAAGAGTAATAATTATTAACGTCGTGAACTCTTTAATATAAACCACTAAAATTATTTTCTGTTAAAGAAATATATATATATATATATATATATATATATATATATATATATATATATATATATAAAGGTTGAAGACAAAAAGCGGAGGTATCGATTCGCTTCTTGCGTGCCATTTTCACTGAAATGCTGTTCTAAATGTTCTTCTGTGCCAAAGATATTTTATACGAAGTTATTTCAAGTCTTTTATTTAAATGCATCCGTCGAATCGCTATTATTGCATCGGTGTTGTGTTTTAACTAGTTGTCTGAAACACCGTATTCAGAGCATTTTATTTGAGTTGCGTAAAGAAAGGCCTTAAATCTTCCGGTTTTCTATTGTACTTGGCTTCTGTTCATCTTCGCCTTTAACCCTCGAAAACCTGGCAAAAGAGCAGGTACGATTCCCAACCAACATGTCTGCTCTCTGACATTGAAAATGGAGTAAAACATCTACACTGCTTCACACCTTCCTCTTATTTTATAATAATAATAATAATAATTTAGATCTTGATGTCGGGTACCACGTGATAATGTTGCTTGACGAGACAGCGAAGCTGAGGTTGTGGGCATCAGGGCCAGACCTTTAAGAAGTTGGCCTGAACGAAGCGAACGTGCCTTTCAGAATTTATTGTTTTCCAGTGCCCTGACGACAGTGGAAAATGGAAGCCATAGATTTGAGGTGTGTTTAGAGCAAAGGGAAGCGAAAGGTGTTGAGACAGCTACCAGTATGACCGCAGCAACCATAAATTCAAATCGCTATATTAGGCAAAGCGATCGTCGAGAAATCAGGGGGCCGTATAATTGCATTAGCAGTGTACACATACATCACATTCCCATCATAGCTTATTTGACTAGGAAGAAAAAATGGCTGATACCAATAGAAGATTCTTGCTAGGTAGTTTATGCAACAGTTCGTTTTTTTTATGTTTTCTAAACGCAACTGATAGTCTCCTCGAAAAATAATTTGAAATTTTACGTTTGTTAATTCTTCTGATGTCGTTGTGGGCTTTATTACGTTATTGCTTTATTACGGGAATTTAATTTTTTCTTTGTTGATCACCTGCATTATATTGATGGCGTTGATGACTAAATTCGCCACCAGCGTGCAGGTTCAGAACTAGAAGCTTCCAATTTCACAAAAACCTGCTACCATCATCAATTGTCTATCGCCGTATGTCCTTGCAAGCGTTGGTTCGAGGTGAAAGAAAATCAGAGAAGAACGTACCGATGGCGTGAATTTGATTAACCTCAACTTGCCAAGAAGTGACCCGCACACTTGATTTTATAACGTTCCACTGAAGCACATGCAGAATCTAGTTATGAAACTGCAACGGAGTCTCGGTGATGTTCTTATCATTTCGGGCGGTGTCTTCTGTAGCATGACTGTCATGCCTAGCTTTCTTCATCAGCTGGTTCAAATGTTGACATCTCCAGGTAATTATAATCCGTCTGGCTCAACACTTTTCGTCTTCGGATTTTGTTTGTTTAGCGACATATCAACTCCTGATGGGTCATTTAATGCCGAAAATTAATTTTCTTGGGAGCGTTTAATAAGTTTCTCTTTTTATAAGAAATGTATTACTGGCAATGTTTTTATTTTGTAAATGTATTGCTGGTAATGTTTTTATTTTGTAAATGTATTACTGGTAATGTTTTTATTTTGTAAATGTATTGCTGGTAATGTTTTAACCATGACAATGTCTTGCTGATATTGTTACTATAAAATTTTATTTTTATACTTTCACAGTGTTTTTCACCCCAGTGGGATGAGATGGGGGATAAATATTTATTCTTATAAAAACGTAACAGGTTCTACCACCTTAGTGCACGGTGGACCTGAGATCAACAGCAATCAGAAGCCTTGCTGTAGAATGTAGTTTATCGTCACGCCTAGGACGTCTTTGGGGTTGGTGTCGCTTGTCTTCTGATATAACTCGTAAAGAAATGTGCTTTGTCTTTATTGGAAGCATGAGAATATTACCGACAGGTATTTTTCAGGGTACTCAAATATACCGAAAATATGAAAAGGGTAACAAAAATCATTTTTTCTTTGTTTTATTAATGACTGTTGCAATGATCAAGATCATATTACTTCAGTACGAAACGAGTTTTAAATCAATAGTAACTTGTCATTTACTCATCATTAAATGGTATTATATCTGTTCAATAATCCCCATTTTTCAGTAATGAGATTTCTGGCTAGTTTCAATGATTTTCTTGTTTACTGCTCGTTTAATCTGTACACTCATTTCGTGGTGATAGACTTATCAATTCTGCAAAATGAACTAATATAATATTAACGTTTTTGCTGACTAAGACGAGATCTCTCAAAAGTAACATTTCGAATTAAATAACTCTTTATAAATTCCCGTTAGTCAGTGGGTGCGTGGCAGCGTTTATGTCGCTATACGTGGGCCTTACGTTAAAGGATAAGAGAGACTGTCTTCCCTCTGGAGAGGGTGCCTAAATATCTGTCCATTACACGATTCTTTCCGACGCGCTCATTTCACAGGGGCAGCTGGTTCGGCGACCTGTTCACGTGCTGAGGACAGCAACTGCCATCAGTCGGTCACTCGCGGATCCCTACACTCAATTAGGAGGTTATCATTCAAGTCAAGCATGCACCTACCTTCTTTGACGAATGCAAAGTCTATTCTGACATCATTTGGTGTGAGACACGTACTAAAGAAAAACTCCCTCATTCTTCCTCGAGAATTTCATTTTGTTCTTCTGAAATATGTACACATTGGTAATCATCTATCAGTGATTGTCAAGATCCAGGAAAGAAACTATGTGACAAAGTGCAATCTGATTTCTTTGTCATAACTAAGTCTTTTGCCCGAGTTTTAGGATCCGTTTGACACGCTGTGTGGGCTTACGGTCAACTCACGTTGAACAAAACGGTTCTTTGCACGATCACCAAAGTTAAGCAACGTCGAGCCTGGTCATTACCTAGCTGAGTGACCGCTTGGGGATACTAGATACTGTAAGCTTGGATGTGTGGTTGATGTAATGGTTAATGGTTCAGAATTATTAATCGAAGATCCGAGTTCTAATTCCAGTTGTGTTCTTTATATTGACTTACGCACAAATACTCTTCGTAAAGATATGAATACACCTCCGAGTTAATTAGTAAAACTTGTATCACCACTAAATTATTATTATCTCGAAAATAATTTTTACAATATAAAAATATTTAATGGCTTTAAATTACCTGCATAGGATTCATAAACCTTAGAAAGCGAATTAATCCATCCCCAGCAATGGGTTAATTAGTACACATGTTTAACTAAAACCATTATAAAAATACATTAAATAAAGTTGTGTACAAAATATTTAGATGTCTGCATTAAATGACCCATAGAAGTTTTCATAAGCTGCTAAACAAAGACAAAGAAAGAGACTCAGTTTAACTGAAAATTTGATTTGCACATGTCATATATCTTTTTACGTTAAACCCTATTCTGTTGAACAGATTTAGTGGATCACTTTCACCTTCCAGTCATGCTTATGGTTTTAGTCTTTCTCAGCCAACTGTATGACTTTATATACATTGAGCTCCAGATATTCTAAATTAGCAATGTTCTTGTGCGTTGAATGTATTTAGAAAATTGATCATTATGATGTTGTTTTCTAGATTGCCATTTATAGAAATTCGTTTTCTTTTTTAAGGTGTCCTTTGCATAACCATATAGTAATATTTATTGCATTTGTATGATTATAGTAATTGTCTACTAGCTTGTGATGAAGCAATGTGCTCTTTATTCCCGAA